AACATGAAAGCTCCATGCATACACATGTGTGAGAGGGTGATCCCATTTCCATCTGCTGACTGCAAAACACTGATATTTTATAGCTGGCAGTGGCTCTTGCTCAGTTCAGGTACCAAAACCATCCAGTTCCCTGTTGATGGTCCCATTTCTCCTCTTGCTGATCTTGTGTGCCATAGTTTACCCTAGCTGTACACATTAGACAAACTTATCTGGAGGGTAAAAGAGAAATCTTTTTCAAGTAACAGTTTTCTAAACAGCGAAGATCAATCTAGGGCTATGGGAGATCTTTAAAATTATATGTACATGTGTTGTTGTAGGAAATTGATATGAGAAGAATAACAATTTGGTTATAGAACATCATGAGTTTGAGATTATTCATGATTTAACTTTATTTTGATCTGGAAGATTCTTCAAAGAGTTTTTCTTAAAGCAAGTGTGTATATATAAGATTTAGTGGCTGCAGTGGAAACAATTAGGATGTTTTATCTGTAGAAGAAGGGCTCTTCCTTAGAAGAAACTGAAAAATTAAAATACTTATAACATCTGTGCATATCTACAGTTAACCGTGTTTTTGTTGTGGAAATATAACTTGGTTTCTAGGCTTCATAGTCTATAGATAAGGTTGTAGAAATTAATGAATTATTTTCTAAAGCCGTTTGCTACCCCTTCACATTTCACTTAATATTTCCCTTGCTGGCTTCGCCTACCGCTTTCTCATGCCGGCAGACTGCCTAACTTCTGTTAAACACTTTTTTTTTTTCCAGGCTTTTATACAAATTGACTTCAATCATCACACATTGACTTTCAGATACACTGTGACAGAAAGTCTTTCAGAAAATATGTACAGTAAGAAAGTATATAAATCTAAAATGTGTAATTACTGCATCACTTGCCGAATGATCTCTCCGTTACATAAACTTCTTGGCCATTTTCCTTCCTTGTTACTCTTGGAAAGTTGCAAATCTTGGCTGCTTCAGTGTTTTGTGTAAATGATACTGTATCTGAGTATTCTATGTGAGTATTCTGAACATCTGTTAAATTCTTGCTGAAGTAATCTGCTTTTTGTTTTATGAGATATTGGCTGTTATTCTTTGGATGTGTTGTGTTCTATATAATCTCAACTCAAATTATTAATGGTTCTTCTATGCTTCTGAGATCTACTGGTCACATGAAAATTAGGTTAATTTTCAAGTTACTAAATAGTGGTTCTTACTTTGCTATTTGTAATTTCTTTGTATGTATACCCTTCCAAGTGAAGTTTCTTGAGTTATAGAAGGAAAGACCACAGTATTTATTTGAAAACATGGGAATGAATTAATTGATATAAAGCAAAATAGTCAATATCTTCAGCATGAAAAAACACTTCTGTAAACTGTGAAAGGTCTTAATTACGTCTAAAGAGGCCTCAGTGTGATCTTCATTAGAAAAGTCTACGTAAATTAGTCAGTGGTGGTCTGCCAAAAAAAAACCTAGGGGACAAGGCAAATCAGACAGTTGAAGTTAATTAGTGCCGTGTGTGCATCACTAATACAGAGAGGCTTAAAACCTACCAGTGCTACTGCTTGATGATTCTTCAAAATAACATCTTTGGGAAATAATTTTCTGAGTTTGGCTCTACCATGTGATTTGATTGTGGGATCTGCAGAAATAGTTTTTACATGTGTATTATGAAAGCTTGTGCCAGAAAAAAAAAAAAAAAGGTGTATTTTGTTAAAAGTAGATTTCTTAAAAATGTTTTATTTGGGAATGCATAAAGATACAACATCGATCGCAAGTCATGGTAGCAGGGAGAAAAACACTTGTTCATTACTTCTGCGTATGTCAGTTTATTCAGACTGTTCTGTCTGTGTAGGACTGAAATTATGGACAGTTTTTTAAAAGATGCTTTGCTAACAGTAAAATCTAGTGACTTTCTAAAAATGGAGAAGGGTGTTAATCCTGAGGCTTATATAGGATCAGACTTGATTAGATAGGTCTTCAGCTTTTCTGGCAATCTTCTGTATGGGAAGAAAGTTATTTTGTATTTTTGGTTTCCAGTGTAGGTAAAGAGTTTTGACAATGGATTTATCCATTATATTTTTGAAAGGTGATTATTTTAAAGCAAATGTATAAATTATGATATATTCAGCATATAAGAATTGTGTACTTGTAAAACAAATAAGTATAAATTGTAGTATCATAGAATGGTTAGGATTGGAAGGGATCTCAAAGATAATCTAGTTGCAGCCCCCCTGCCATGGGCAGGGGCACCTTCCACTGCACCAGGTTGCCCAAAGCCTCCTTCAGCCTGGCCTTGAACACTTCTGGGGCATCTACAACTTCTCTGGGCAACCTGTTCCAGTACCTCACCACCCTCTGAGTGAAAAATTTCTTCCTTAGATCTAATCAAAATCTGCCCTTTTTTAGTTTAAAGCCATTGCCCCTTGTCCTATCACTACACGCCCTTGTAAAAAGTCCCTCTCCAGCTTTCCTGTAGACCCCCTTTAAGTACTGGAAGGCTGCAAGAAGATCACCCCAGAGCCTTCTCTTCTCCAGGCTGAACAGTCCCAACTCTCTCAGCCTGTCTTCATAGCAGAGGTGCTCCAGCCCTCGGATCATCTTTGTGGCCCTCCTCTGGACCCGCTCCAGCAGCTCCATGTCCTTCTTGTGCTGGGGACTCCAGAGCTGAACACAGTATTCATGGTGCGGTCTGATGAGAGCAGAGTAGAGGGGCAGAATCACTTCACTCGACCTGCTGGCCACACTTCTTTGGATGCAGCCCAGCATACGGTTGGCTTTCTGGGCGGCTCATGTTGAGCTTCTCATCCACCATCACTCCCAAGTCCTTTTCCTCAGGGCTGCTCTCAATCCATTCTCCACCCAGCCTGTACTTGTGCTTGGGATTGCCCCGACCCATGTGCAGGACTGTCCTGGTTTTAGCTGGGACAGAGTTAGCTCTTCTTTTTAGCAGCTTGAAGAGCTCCGTGTTTTGGTTTTACTCAGAGGCTCGCTCTGAGAAGAATGTTGATAGCAAGCTGATGTTTGTGGTTGGACGTGAGACTCCAAGGACTTTTCAGTGTGCCGTGTTCTGGCCGCAGTGCAGAAGCCCAGTGGGATAAGGGGGGAGCATAGCCAGGACAAGGGGGCCACAATTCTCCTTGTGATTTGTGGTGGAACTTATGATAGAGGGCCAAATGGCCAATTAGTATTCCATATCATGCAGCGTCATGCCCAGTATAAATTATAAAGGTGAGGGACAGCCGGACAGAAGGGCTTTTGCGCTTTGGCTCTCTTGCCGCTTTTGCTCCTTTGCGCTTCTGCGCTTTTGTTCTATTGCATTTCCCGCTCCCACCCCCCCAGTACTCCCATTCTCGGAGTACTATCTCTCTCTCTCTGCCCCTCTCTATTTCGGGGCCTTGTGTTCGTCCGGGATTGCAGCTTCGGGACGAGACGGGCTGCGGATAAGAGGGGGTGGTGAGCATCTACACTGTGTAGTACTTATCTGTATTAAATTGTTCTTATCTCAACCCACGAGTTTCCTTTAATTCTATCCTTCTTTCCTGGGGGTGGGGGAGGGTGAGTGACTGGCTGTGTGGGTTCGGTTGCTGGAGCGGCCTAACCCAAGACAAGGATCTTGCACTTGGCAAGATCTTAGATCATAGATCTTTTCAACACTGATTAAAAATATCTAATCTTGAAGATGAAAGTATGCTACACTGTTTTCTTTGCCTGATGGTTTATGTCTGAAAGAGTAAAAATGATGGGTTCCTTAAAAAGAAAAAGAAATATTATAAAGCTAAAAAAGGTACTCAAAAAAGGAATTGCATTTTCTATACAAGTTCTTATTTTACTGTATTGATACTGAACATTAGTATGCAGTTTAGCTGTTAACCAGAGACAGGTTGAATTGGAACTCCTGACTATGAGTTTTAAAATAACTTCATTTGAAATACTTGTTGAAAGCATACTGAATGAGTGAACTGCATTAGTCATATCATTATGAAAGAAAATATTTTATGCGGATGTTTCTTGATGTTTCCTCAAAATGTCAAATTTCTCTAGATCAGCCTTCCAGGAAGATAAAAAGCTGGGAGAAGAAGCCTGGGGAATGTTGTTAGTTTTTTTTCCTGTGAGCAATGGGGGACTTGCACATCTTTCCAGCATCTTCTAATTTAAAAAGCAAATTAAAATACTCTTTCATACATGAAAGCTGCAACAGTTAAGAAGGTTTTTTTCCTGAATGATACACTGTCTGTTCCTCTATACAGTAGCATGATATCTGACAGTCAGTCTTCTGTTTGCTGCGTCACTGGTTGAACCTTAATTCTTCCTCTTTGGCAGTACTAGAGTCTGTGGGTAGGCTTCAGATCCAGATTCTCCGCACTGACTCCCTTTCAATATACCGAATGTTCCCTATCAGAGAGCTATCTACCATTTTTCATTTTTTTAACATAGAGAATACTTAGTTTGCAAGCATATGTGAGAAGGCTCACGTGCACAGAGCGGTTGCCAGTGATTGTGGCCTGGCTGCTTTGCAAAGCTGACCAGTGCACTTTCATTGCTGTTTTTTTACTTGAAAACAGCATCAAGTTTCTGATCCTACACTAGCAATGGTGTGGAAGATATCCAGGTGAAGGAAAACCATATAGGAAACTGATCGACAATCCTTCAGAGAAGCATTCTCAAGGGGAGGGACACAAAGGGGTGGTGGGGGTGGGGTGCACATGATTGGTGTATGACTTGGTGGGTAACCTGGATTGAAATGTATTTGTCATTAATATTTCAAGTAAACTCTAGAACATGCAAGCTTTTGTTAAAGTTACTGAAACAGATAGCATTTCAGACTGTCACCCAGATGGTAATAATTTTCTCAGTATTTTAATCCTTAATTTTTTTCCTGTAGGCATCATTGCACTTGTGTAAATAAGTACAGTTCTTTTAAAACAGTAACATAATCAGCAATTTAAATATTATATAGAAATATATTTAACTGCTTTTTTTTTCTTTTTTTCTTGCTATAGGGCAGATTATACCAGAAAGAAGGTTTGTAGAAGCAATAAATCGTCAAGCATATCAATATGAAATGGGTGATTTTCCAATAGAATGGGAAGGTAACTCCTGAATATTTTGGTTTTATTTCAAGATAATTTTGCTATTGAATGTAGATTCAGTACTTTTAGTGGAAAGCCTGACTATGTGAATAGGCTGTCTGTTATATTACATTCTGAGTAATGCAAGCTTTTGTTTAACTGCATAGTTATTATGAATTCTTAAAGAAACCCTTTTACAAATAGGATAAATTGTTCAGGAAATCAGTACTTAATAAAAATGTAAATAAAGACTGTATGATCATAAATTTCTCCTATTAAATGGGTAAATATTTGTGCCTGAGGGAGATCTAACAGGATCACCAAAACTAAATGTGTTAAACTTCCTGATTATGCCTTCAACTGCAGTGTTAATTTGTTGGTCAGTTGAAACATTGGAGGCCCAGTGATAGGGCTCTTTTGTGTGTGTGTGTGTGGTGGTATTTGGCTTCCTGTAGTCTTCCTTGCACAATCTTGTAGGGAGTTGAAGAACCTCTAATTAACAATTTTTTCCCACTGATACTGATGAAAATTTTGTCTGAAAATTTGGGACATAGACATTCAGGGAGGTTAGAGAAGTTCCTTAGGATTAGCTGAGCAGCCCTTGGAGAAACAGAGAAAGCAGAGAAGGAGTGTATGTTTGTCCTTGAGGCTATCAGAGCTTGAGCCAAGTGTGGGGTTAAATTTGGCTTAAAATCCAGGACTCTAAAGCATAAGCAAGGAATCCCTGAAATAGTAGATAGAGTCTACCCAACATTCAGCATGCATTTTGGGAAGAATAATATCTAGGCATCTCCCAAAAGTTGGTAGGTTCAAAGCAAACAAACCTCTTTACTTTGGACACTATGCAGTTGAACTGTGGAATTCCTTGTAATTGAAAATCCTGCTTGCTGGAAGTTTGCATGAGTTCAAAAAGTTTAGAAGCAGTTGTGGAACAAAAATCCTTCTTGTATACAGACATCACTGTGGTTCAGTTAGTAAGCTGCAAATTAATGGAGGCTACAGTGTGTTTTGAGGAATTAGCACAATGTATTTGCTTTACCTCATTCTCTTTCCTCTGTTCTCACTGCTGGCCCCTGAGGGAGGTGATACTGAGCTAAGAGAAATCTTTGGTCCCATAATATCCCTTCCTGGAGTCAGTAGAGAAATACCAAATGTCCCCATCTTGCATTTTATCATTGCCATTACACTGATTCCTGTGATTTTTTTTGTGATTAACTAAGGCTAGTATTAACAGCTAAAAGCTTCTCAAATATGTTTCAACCCTATTAGCAGCATTTGCCAACTGTGGCAAAACCGCAATATCAACAGCTTCCGTCTTCTGCTGCTGCGGAACCCACAGTTGGCTGGCAAGTCTCCATCTAGTTGTTCTTTGTTCTTTATCAGCCCGAGATAGCATCTTTTGAAGAACAGCAGCAGCCTGGTAGGCTTATCCTTACTAAATCATCTGGTGCTTGAATGGGTATCTACCGACTTTCTGAAGGTCTGTTTCCTCATCCAAAAGTTCTTCCGTCACTGTTGGTCATCTTAGGTCTGTATGACCGTCATGCAGTCACTCTGCACCACAAACACTGAGAAGCGTGAATAAAACCTCACGTGCTGTGCATGCATTCTCGTCTAAAACCTGCTGCTGCCTTTTAAGAGTTGAAAAATGCAATCCGATAGTCTCTACCTGCACTTGGCTGGAAGTAACAGGAAACGACGTGGACAGTCAGACTGTCTCAGATGCCTGTGGAATAATCACCCTTTCACAAAGGGTCTTACACTGTTTCAACCAGCTTGCTGCATGAACCTGTTCCTTAGGACTGCTGGAACCCCTGTAGCACTAAAAAGCCTGCACTACATCTCTCTTCAGAAACCTTAGCACAAATCCATGTGACTTGACAGTGTGGTGCGTGGGAGGGGACAGATGTTTGGAAAGATGCTTTTGGCAAGCACCAGTACAGGGAGAGACCTTGGAGTCAAGGGTCAGGTCTCCTGCAGTGTGGACTTGCCTAAAAAGATGCAACTGCTGGACCTGAGATGCACTTTTGCAAGTCAAGGCATCTTATTTGAGTTTGTTTTAAAGAAGAAAACACAATTTGGCAGTCCCATTTTTATGAGCTGTGTTTATACTTTTAACGCATAACTTCCTCATCTTTGTAACTGCGTTTTTTTTCTATGTTTTTTGTCAGCACCAAATATAAAGAATTTACAGAGAAAAGCAAAATTTACAGTATGCAGATAGGTAACAGTCTTTTCCTCTTAAGTACTGAATTTCTCTAGAAACAGAAAGAAAGGATACATGCATCTTTTTTGCCCCGGGCATTTCTTAAGCAGAATGGGCATGTAGTGCATGTTTCTGATAAAGTATGGGAATTCCACCAAAAAAACCACCATGTTAACCTGTATTTTTTTGTCCAATGCCAATTTAAACATTACAAACGATTCTGTGTGAGTATAAGATAATCTTAAAAAAGCCAAACCTGGTGCTTCTGCTGTGGGTATAGAGGCTGTTCAAAGAGCTATTGTACCTTCCCTGTGTAATGGGATGTGAATTAGGGATGTGAGATGCTCTGAAGTTCAGTTCATCACTACTTCTTTTCTGCCTCCTGTAAAATGAAAACTTCTCAATGTGTAAGAAATGGGAAAGAACAGAAAGAGTAGACAGTTCAAATGATACTATGGAAGCCAGTTGCCTGACTGTGAACCAGTTTAATACAAGGTTTTTAGATGTGCTTTGTCGAAAGGCACATTACAGTTTTGTCCCTATTTTTTCCTCTTTAAGATAGGTCTAGAAGTTTCCTAGGCTCACAAGACCTGTGCTGAACTTTCACTCTGTATCTTCTGGCCAGACTCTTGAAAATTTCCCCACACTTTCTTTCTGTGGGTGTTCACTTCATGATTTGTACTGTTGTGGATGCTGATCATTCCAGCAAATAGTCTGAGACTGCAGAAGGATTTCTATAATACTTGCTGTTTTCTCTGAACAGTAAAAGATGAATGTAAGGTTAGAAGGCTGTATAGTATTTCTTACTTCTGTTTTCTCTTTACTCTTGGAAATTTTTGGATTTTTAGTGTTCTAAATTCTCTCTGCTGAGCTCATGCTTACATCTCCAGGGACCTTCTCTCCAAATTCTCTGTATGCACTCTGACATCTATGCCTCTCAGCTTCAGTTTTGGCTGGTTCAGCAATAGCAGTCTCCTTGCCTAGCCTTCTCACACTTTTCACTTTAAGGACCATGCTAAAGTTTCTGTTGCCTTCTTTCCTCTCCTTTTCCTCGGGATCTACAGAGAGCCGCTTTCACCTGTGTTGTCTTTGTTCTGCCAGGACTCAGTTTTTGCACTTGTGGATAACTCTTAATGGCCGCCCCATTTAAAAGCAGGCATCTCAGAACTCTCTCCCTCTCCTTGTTTCCCTACATCACACTGTCTGGCTAGAAAATAAACCTCTTGTGACCGAAATTAATAAAAGTACTGTCCCTGGAAATATTTAAGGACACGAGTTGTCTGAGGAGAACTTGCACAAACCCAGGGACAAAGGACTGTTGAAGGAGTGGGAGCAGGCTGTAGTGAAATTTGAAGAGAATCCAAGTTAAATCTCATTGTAAATCTAAGACATTCAGCCTGGACAGCTGGTAAACTGAGAGGCTGATTTTGACACTGTGTTTATCACGTTATAAACATGTAATAAGGTAACCGAGACCATGTAGAAAGCTATAAAGCAAGCAGATAAACCTGTCAGCCAGACTGCAGACTCAGTCTGTGCAAGCTGTTTCTCAGACTCCAGAGAAGATGTTTGTGTATTAGTCCTGAGAGTTTACTAAATGTAGGGCCCAGGGCTTACACCTGAAGTATTTGCCTGGAATTTTTCTCCTGAAGATGTTAGTTTTAAGTGCTCCACGGGATTAAATTTCCGAAGTTCTCAGATCTGTGAATTTTACAAAAGTTCTGAAGATCCGTTAAGGCTTTTGTAAAACTGAAATGTGCTCAATGTTAAAATAATAGAATCATAGTCCCTTGTGTTCTCCATAGTCTTAATGTTAGTCTATTTGTACACAGAAAATTAAGTATATTTTAATTTTAAAAATCTGAAAGTGTGTTTCGATTTGTACTGTAGTTTTGAATTTAGAACGTAATCCGTACACACAATGCAAATATTACCTGTTTTTGTTTAGGTGAAGCCTTTTATAGTTGACTACAAGGTGGGAGTGCATACTTTTCCCTAGGCAATATGGATGCACACAACAGATAACCTGTCTGTAATGTTAGTTCTGAATGTTCACCTACTGTAGAATGTGTAATTTACCTCCTTGGGACGTGTCAATAGTGCTCCTGAGAGGAGATCAGTAATTTTACATGCCTCCAGAGATTCATGAGATTGCATGCTTCACGCAGCATTTTATTGCCCATCTACTCCTTGTCCTTTTTTTTTTTTCTTTCCTGCTAACATTTAGTGATTAATGGGATTCTTAATTTGCATGCTCACTTTTACGCTCATTACAGTAACGCTCATTACAGTGTGTTACGTGCCAGTAGGAGTCTTAAAGTTCAATGAAAATCTCATGCATGCTAATGAAAATGCAAATGAGTGCTGATGAAAGAATGCAAGGGTCTCAAGGTAGGAAATGTCCAGCTATCTTGCAAAATTCTTCTAGACAAAAGTAGCATTACAATGAATACAGAATGCAGGAAGTGCCATCCAGATAAAATTAGAAGCAGTAACTTAATGAGTTTGAAAATTTTGCCAAAGCTTTGGGGGGCAGGGAAGCATGTTTTGCTAGCACTCAGTACATACATGTTACCTTCTCTGCTTTACTAGGTTTAGAGTAACTTGACTG